CATGCACTAACTGAGCTTTTCTTTATCTCTTGAATGAAGAGTTGATGATCATTAAGGTATAACATGGGAAAAGCAAAGGTTAAGTAGTGGTTGAATACCATAAAATTGACTCGTGCCTGGTGATTTTGCTGTACAAAATTCTGAGATTCTTGTTGAAGCATGAGCTGTTTAGTCACCTTCTGAAATGAACAGAAACTGTATTCATTCAATATTTTTTAAAGACTTTGAAATTTTAAGAATCTTGGCATTAACATAATCATTGATATTTTTATTTTTTTTGTTTTTGCAGGTTTTCTGAAGGGAGCTTGACAATAAGCCCCAACCAGTGTTTGTGTCGTCAAGATCAAAAAATTATTCTCTTCCATTTTTCTTAATAATTTTACTTTAGGTATTACTCTCACAAATGTTCGACATCGGTTTGTATCAACATATTTATCTTAGTTAATTTCGAGTTTCTTCATTGAGGTGAGATTGATTTGAATGGAGTACAAAACGCAACACACATTGGGTTAGTATGGAATAAATAGTTACAAATGATAGGCTAGAATGATTAATTCATTTCACTGAACAAAAATGTATACTTATATTATTCAATTTATTTTTGTTTGTATAAATTTTTAAAAAATACAATATCTTTTATGAAAATATAAAGATTTGTGATAATAGGATCTAATAGTTAGAAATTGAGTTCTCGGAAAAACAAACAAGCTATTATCAATGATGATATTGCAACGATATATCAATTATTCAAATCCAACATACTTGTAACCAATAAATAAATTTTAATCATGTATAATTTATGTATAAATTCAAAAAACCATTTTATGTTGAATCAATATATTTTGTGTAATCCCTCAAGTTGGCTGTGGGGCTGCAGGTATTTATAAATGTGCAGGTACAGACACAATTTTAAGGGTGTGGCAAATTGCCATACCAAACTGTAATGAACTTTTTAAAGCTTTGCTAACAGGAGTTCAACAAGCCCTTTGGACAGCCTTTATTCTTGATTGGAGTAACATTGAGGTGAGGCTTAATGATGAGGATATGGTCAGTAATTTGAGTTTTGCAAGGAACTTCAGTGATGATTTGAAAACTATGGTTGAAGACATCTCTCTCTTAGCATCTTTGTTTATCAAGTGTAATTTTACTTTTGCTCCTTGTTCCTCTTTGGATAGTTGTAATAGCTTGACTTTGGAAGCAACATTAAGTGCTCGTAACCATGTTTGGTTAGATAATTTTCCAAGTTGGACCTAAGATTTAGTATCCCTCCCGGACTCTTTTTTGTGATCAGTGGATCACCGATTTGTAAAGATCTTGTTCTTTTGTTTCGTTTTGAGTTATAAAATTTCTATCGTTTTGATAAAAAAAAAAAACNGAAAAAACTAAATTTATAAAAAAAAAAAAAAAAAGATATTTAAACTACAATAATGTTAAGGAGCCAAATGTTGGCTCCGTTATAGAGCCAACAGTTGAGTCATGTGGGACAACCCCACATAGAACTGTCCCATTAGCTGTTGGCTCTACAACAGTTGATTCCTTAGCATTACTGATATATGTAGACAGTTGATTCCTTAGCATTACTGATTTAAATTAACAGTCGCTCTTAAATGGAAATGGACAATCACATGTCAATGATGTCATGCAAAGTATTCGCACTGGGTAGATTGATCCGACGGCTCCGAACAAGTGAAATTTAGGTTAACAAAATGCTCAAGGTCAGTTGGGGAATCCTTATGCGCCACGTGGATAAATGTGGGATAACACAAAATCACGCGCGTACCACAGGGTTTTCCCTCTCCCATCGACTCACTCTCATACTCGGTTGAAAAAATGGGAACCGTCTTCTTTATCTCAACCGCACCTTCCTGGCGTCGCTGCTCTGTTCTACTCGCCATCTACCTCCGGTCGCCGGAAATTCTCGCGCCATTCGGTAAAAACATATTCTCTCTCCTCCTCTCACGTTATCTACATGCAATTTGTTTTTTTCCCTTGTTTAAAAATAGCTGAGCACCATTAACTGCAGGATCGAAGCTGAATCCCTAGACGAGGAACGCTTGTTGCGGTGCCGTGCTTTGCAATGGTTTACCGCCGCGGCCGTCGGCGTGGTAAGTTCGCGATTTCCAATTTATACGCCGTAACAGTAATTACGTCTTGTAAATAGGCTGGAAGGTGAATGGCTTTTACGAAAGTAGCTGTAGGTAAACAATCGGCGACTGTTTACATGGGTTATTGATAATGGCAGACCCTGCAGGGGGCGCTGAATAATATCTGTCATAAATTGTTTTCGGCAAGGATTAGAATGTTAGTAGGTACATGAGATCGGTTGTGTTGTGATTTTAATCCATTTGGTTGGAAGTATGGCATGGCTAATGATGATGAACGTGCCTTATTTTCCTTGATTTAATCTTTATAGTTCATATCTTTTGACAACGATCTTAAAGAGCTGTGAGAAAGAGCATTGTTATAGGAAAATGAAAAGCAGATATTGTTGCATTTTTGTGTGTTTGTTCGTTTGCGTGTTTTATCGCCGGAAATGTTTCTGAAACCATAGAATTAGCTTTTCTGTGACTGACTAATAGTTGATAGCAAACAACAGCTCTTGTTAGGGATGGGTCAACAAATACAGGTGTCACAGTGATGACCAATTAGTGTCTTTTTGCAGGACTTGATAGGAAGATCCAGCTCATTAATTGAAGTGGCTCATGCCGCTTACGACAATGTCAACAATGTTCGGAATTTCAGTGTGAGCCTTCAGAAAATTTCAGTTCACTATTGTTATTATTTGTTTTTTTAATATTGTTTTCCCTCTGCACAGAACAATCCAATTTACATTTGGTAGCCAAAATTAAGGGAATCCTTGCTACAACACTGAAGGTAAAATTCAAGCATTAGAATGAAGTCCACTCTTAATGTAATTCTAAGTATCGTATTGACCTACCGTAGCATCATAAGTCACTTGGACTCTAAACCAACACATTTTGCAGGACATGTATTGGTCTTTTGGTATCATTTATGGCATTTCATCGAGTAGAATTGGGTCTTTGGGATAATATGGCTCGCATAAAAGATAAATGGTCTAATGGCGAATGTTGATGGGATCAGTGTAACTTATCTACATGGATTTTAAGTCCTGTGTTATGCATCTCTATTATTAAGAATTCAGTTTATGTTCACAGCTTATTAAGTTATTATTACATAATTGATTTTAATTATTCCTTAAAGTTCCTGTGTCTCAACTAGTTGTACTAACATTATTTGTTTCTCGTCCCAATGCAGCTCAAAGTCCTGTCAGATCTACCTTTCTGTCCGCAGCCATTCGAAAATGTGGTGGAAATGAAGGGAAATGGGCCTTTCTGTACTCAATTGCATTTCGATTTTATTTGTAGCCTTTGAAATAATTAATTAGTGTTCAACGTATTATTAGTGTTATTAATATTCCTATTATGTTGCAGCTAGCTGTCATGCCCCGATCAGTCGGGACTGAGGCATTGCTAGCTTCCGACCCAGATGTTCTGCCATGGGTTCAGAAATATCAACATAGACGTGAACCAGTATCACAAACTGATTATGAGGTCTATTTATCACTTATCCCAATTTTATTGTTATCTTTCTTTCTCTCTTTTTAGCTTATCCAGCATGAATGAGGGAAAGATAACACTACATACAATAGTCTCGTCAGAAAATTTCAAAACATTTATAGTCATCATGATCCATTATACGTCTTTTTGAGCTTTTGAAGCCACCAATATCTAAACCGGTTTTCGATTTCCATGTTTCAGTATCACGTCTTTTTGAACCAGTATCACAAACTGATTATGAGGTCTATTTATCACTTATCCCAATTTTATTGTTATCTTTCTTTCTCTCTTTTTAGCTTATCCAGCATGAATGAGGGAAAAGATAACACTACATACAATAGTCTAGTCAGAAAATTTCAAAACATTTATAGTCATCATGATCCATTATGCGTCTTTTTGAGCTTTTGAAGCCACCAATATCTAAACCGGTTTTCGATTTCCATGTTTCAGGTCGACCTCATAACCACGCTCACATAACCGAGTTCGTTTGGCCAGCAAATCAATTACTAGGCATATACATATCCAGTCAAACGACTTTATCTGAGCAAACTCCAGTTGTAGACACGTATGGCTCGCTTTCTCTGTTTGTATAAATTTGTGCTATATACAATATATGTAGTTTACTTCACCCCAATGATGCTTTCTTGATTGCTATATTTACTTGCCCTTTGGCACCTTTTTGTGATGCAGTGCACTACACAAATAGTTGTGTTCTTGTGATACTTCTGTG